TTTTTTTTTTTTTTTTAACTGAACTTGCTTTGGAAATTCTGAGGCAATTCAAAGAGCTAATATCTAATTGGAAAAACAAGACCCACAGGCCAGCACAAAGGAATTTTAGAGTAGCAGGGCCAGAACTGAGAGCCCCAGACTCAAGGACCACCTGTGTAAACCTTGTTTGACAGGAAACTCACCGAAACGTCGACAGTTTGTACATTCTGAGAGTGTTCAAACAGGAGGTGAGGGCGTCAGATGTGGATAGTCTAAGGACCCCAGGACAGCCAGTCCCTGCCTGTCAGTGAGAACCGCATGTCAGAGTTGGAAGGCGCTTTGGATACCTCAGCACCTTGCTATGTTCCCCAGGGTGGAGGAGGAAACAGACCCAGAGAAGGTTCAGGAGTTGCCCAAGGCTTGGACAAGGTTTGGTTTGGGTCAAAGGTGGGTCTGGAACCCGTGTCTCAGAGGCAGAATTTATGTCTCTCTTGCACCAGGGAGTGATAAGCAGAGCCTCTTTGACTGAATGTCACTTCCTCATTCTAGGAGTGATAGGGAGACACAAAGGTGACTGCCAAATAAGTAGGCATTTTCTTTGTCTTCCGTGTTTCTTTCCCTGCAAGATTTTATTGAAATATCTAAAACATTAAGTACTAACACCTTTAAAAACAACACCAGCAACTCATCTGCACAGATATTCTAGTGCTCAAGTGAGTAGTGGCCTCTGATGTTACAGAACTTGGGGAGGATAAAGTGGAACACTGTGAGCATCACCTAGTCTTAGCCGCTGCCAGAATGTGAATCTGCAAGCGCAGGTGGGAGGCAGAGCAGCGAAGTGGACAAACCAGAAGCCAGAAAACCTGGGTTTCCTACATGGGACACCACCCTGTTGGGTCTCTTTGGGCGAGTCTGGGCTCATTTCCTTGGCTGACCAACAATGGCAGTTCTGGGTGGTACCCAGAGGCCCTCTCCCTTTCTCCTCTCCCTCTCTGTAAATGCTACTTCTCAGTCTTCACGTGGCCTTTTCACCCTCTGGTCTCTTGGGATCCCCTCTTAAGGGTGCACCCCATCATTGGATTAAGGCACACTCTGATCCCATAGGACCTTATTTAAATTTAACAAATTGTATCTGCAAAGACTATTTACAAATAAATTCACATCAAAGATTTCAGATATAAATGAGGATCTGGGGGGCACTTTTCAGGTTCACATTATGTTTTTGTAAGACAAAGAAATGGCATGATTTTTTAAAGGTAAATTTGCATGGTTACATATTATTGGTCCAAAAAGTTACGATAAATTTTTAAAAACTCACTGGTAGGGTCTTTTCTCATTTTAGCAGAGAAAATGCCCAAGTGCCTGACATAAATTGATATTCAGTAATTATTTCTTTAAGGAACTGTTAACATAAAAATGTTAGAGGTCATTAAAAAAAGGCAAAGCACATTTTGTGGGGATCAAAGGATTGCCATTCAGGGAACACAGATTCAGGCAAAAACCTAAAATGTGGCCCCAGGAAGAATAAAGTTTGAAATTATGTTGCCACAAGGCAAGGTGCATTACCAGGAGCCACCAGAAGTTAGGAGAGAAAGGGGGGCCCTCCTCTTGAAACTCTGAAGGGAACATGGCTCCACAAACTCTTTGATTTTGGACTTCCTATTTCCAGAATAGTGAAGGAATAAAATTTTTCTTATTTCAAGTCACTCTGGCCATTTCTTGCAGGGAATTAATATGAGGCATAAAATGAAATACACTGAGAAACAGTCATGAGTTAAGATCACAGCAATCAGATGTTATAGAAATTTAAACTACCCTCAAGAATACCAAATTTGACTACAGTAGCTCAAGAGGTTAGTGGTTAAGTAGGCAGGCCTTGGAGCCAAAAAATAACTGGGTTGGAAACCCAGCTTTGATACATATTAGCAGAGTAACCTCAGACTAGTCATTCTGCCTCTTAGAGGTTTCCTCATCGGGTTTTAAGAAGATGAAGTGAAATGTAACATTTGAAAGCACTAGTGCTTGGCCCATGGTAAAGACTCACTAAAAGTCAGCCAGTATTTATGGCCAGAGCACACAGCAGGTCGACTCTACTAAAAGTTGTTTCAATGAATCCCTGTCACAGGGCCCTAGTGATTTCCTTCACTGTCCCACCTGTCATTATTTATGTATATATGGTGTCTCCCCACCAGAATCTAAAAAGTAAGCTCCATTATCCAGGAGCAGTGTCCCACCTACAGATAGAGATCCAGGACCTGCCACAGGAAGCAGGCATGTCTTTGTGAGATGAGTGGATGAGAGACCTGTCTTGAATATCTTAAGTGAAGACATGTTTAATATCCTTCCTTTTATTACATCTGCGGTGCCAAATAATCACATTTGTATCTGTCCATGCTATGCCCTCTCCTTGACTACTGGCAGGAGGAGCCGCCCTGATCCCGGACCTTGGGACCATCAAATGCATGGGACTGGTTCTTGTAGGAGTTAGTGGACCGTGGGAGGCAGCCCCGTGCCTGGCACACAGTGAAGCAATTTCCCCATCCTCCCACTTGCTCTGCTTTTTATTTGTCATTGGAGTGTGAGGGGACGAGGGACTGAATTGAGGCATGACTGGAACAATTCGGAGATTTATAAAATCTCAGTGAATCTCTCCCTTTTTCTTGTAGTTGGCTTATCCTGGCACCCCATTAAATACAAACAGGATCTCACAAGATCAATAGCACTCTGAAGATTCCATGTCTCAAGTGATCCCAGTTGCCTGTTTTCCCTGGAGACCTAAGAGGTGACAGTAGCTGTGAGTGAGGATAATCAGAGCCTCAGGGTGAACTGGAGGCTTGTCAGCCCTCAGCTCTCATCATATCACAGTTCAGAGTCTTTAAAGAGAAAGGGTCAGCCAAAGGAGGGATTTCTCACAGCTTGAGAACCAAGCAGATCCTGACAGTTAAGCAGAAACAAGGGCTGGCTGACATGTCACCTGATACCCTGAGATCCCAGGAGAATAATCCACCCCTCCATCAAATGTCCTCCAAGTCCCTCACTGCTGAGTCTGAAGGTGCACTCGGATCCAGCGGCCTATGGGGGTGCAGGCAGTGAGCCACGCTGTTGGGAAGGCTTCCTAACCTGGCGTGCCCTGAGCTCATCCCAGATTCCAGGCATTCTGCCTCCTGCCCACAGAGCCGCCCCTCACAGGGCCTGGTTATTCAGGAGACTGAGTCTAGAGAGGCACGGGCACGCTCCCCCTGGGGGTCCATCCCAGAAGGGAAGTGTCCAGGCCCCCCAGGTCCATACCAGACTGGAAGTCAGTTGAGAGGATCAAGGCCACTCTCCCTCTTCCAGGAAGTGAGATTTCCGACGTAGGCTTGTTTAAAACTGGGAAAGAGGTCTCCGCTGGCATCAGGGCAGCGGAGACCTCTGGAACTGGTCACTGAGTGTTCTTCACATCAGCCTCTGTCTCGGTGATTGAGGACTTCGGGATCTCTTCTTTTCCTTCAAGCCCAAGGCCCCTCAGGTGATTTTTCCAGCGGGCCAGGCAGTGCTGGGCAGAGGAACGGATCTCCCCACTGCGCAGGGCATAGATGATGGGGTTGACCATGGAGTTGACGAGGCACAGCATGGAGCAGAAGGCAAAGACCTTCTTGACCTGGTCACTTAGAGTGATGGCCAGACTGCAGACCATGAGGGCCAGGACCGGGGACCAGCACAGGAAGAGCACGGCCAGCAACACCCCCAGGGTCTTAGCCAATCTCACGTCCAGTCTCATCCGGGCCATTCCTGGCATCTGCCTGTCCTGGTGCACAGTCAAGCTGTTTACATGCTGATGGGCCTTCCAGAGGACGTGCCCGTAGGTGTAGATGATGCCAGAGAAGAGGAAGGCGATGAACAGGAGCCAGCCCAGCAGATAGTTGTTGGGGATGAGGGGAAAAAGCTCCGAGCAGGTACTTGGACAGCAAGTCCATCCCATGAGGGGCAGATAGGAGACCAATGCCGAGATGACCCACATGATGGCCAGGGCCACCAGCGCCCTTCCTCGGGTGAGCAGGGCTTTGTAGGCAGTTGGGTAGCGCAGACAGAGGAAGCGGTCAATGGCAGTCAGCAAGAGGCTGCCCACGGAGGCTGTGAAGGTCATGGTCACGCTCCCGATCTTCAGCAGGAAGATAGCCTTGGGATCCACACCGTGGAAGACGTGGAAATTGACAAAGCTGCAGACAAAGACCACACTGGCCAGGAAGTCAGCCCCAGCCAAACTGCCAATGAACAGGTAGGACGGCTTTCTGCGGAGCCGGTGCGAGGACAGGACCAGGTAGAGCACAGCCAGGTTCTCCAGAATGCTCAGCAGGCCCAGAGAAATGCACAGCACCGCCACAGCGACCCTCTGGGAGTCGCTCAGGACCATATAATCCTTCATGGGGTTGAAATCCAAGCCATCCTTGGAGCCATTGGCTGTGTCCAGCCCCCGGCATCTCTCCATGTGTGTGTGTGTGGAGGGGAGGGACCCCTCGGTTTCTGCTGGGTGTGCGAAGGAGCCTTGCTGTTGTAAATGAGCAGAACAAACGAGTCTTTTTAATCAGCGTGACGGTGACCTCTGCGCTCACTGACTCTAGCCACACCCTCACCTGTGCAGATGGAGCATATGTTGAAATAGCAATTTGTATTTTGTTCTGCTGTGTTTTACCCTCGCTTCTTTTTAGTGCGGTGCCTCATCTGAACTGGTTGCTAGAGCAGAGGCATGTAGGAATTCAAGAAACAGAAGTGACTTGCAAGCTTTTGGTCTTTTGTTTTCAAAAACATTAACCTAAGACTTCCCTTTGATAATAAGGGAAATCTCCAAGGGTAAATAAAACAAAGAGGAAATCAAAACCAAGAGAAAGTGGGACCTTTAGTGATAAAAGTGGAAAGTTTTTTTTTTTTTTTTTTGGCATAGGGTTTGGTCTCCCTATTAGGGATGGGAGACCAGATGTGGGCTCCACACTGATAGGGTTGCTGGACAAAATGCAGGATCCAGCTAACTTTGAATGTCAGATAATGAATCATTTTAAAATATACGTATGCTTTAAATATCAAAAGTTAAACAACCAAACAAACTAGGACACACAAATATTGTATGGGACATAGTAAAACATTAGAAAGTAAACTAGGGTTGTTTTCTTTTAAAGATTTACTTATGCATACAAGAACTGGGGTGCAGGCCAGAGGTATGGGGGTGAAAGGATTCACCAGAGACAGAGTGGGGAGCAGAGTGGGCAGATCAATGAAACACTGCTGAGGGGAGCAGCGGGCGAAACAGGAGAGGTCTGCCACCCCATGTGGGTCACTGCACTGGTCCAGGATGGAACTCCTGCTGCAGTGGCTGAGGATAGCTTGATAGTGCTGAGACAACCCCTTGAGCACCAGGGAGGGCCCTTTGAGTGTTATTTTTCTATCCAAATCATCTAAGATCCTCACATCTAGAGGCCCATGAAATTTGAGTTCACAATGCAAAATTATAAGACTCATAAGGAAACAGGAACAAGAAAGCAGAATTATATTTCCAAGAACTTCAAATGATTCTCTGGTGCATATTATAAAAATGTATTTCATCTGATGAAACAATAGGGAGTCAAAAACATTAACACATTAAGAGAGATTATCTGAACAGAACCAAAAAAGAACAAATATTTTTCTGGAAGTGAAAAATAAAGTCATTGAAAAAAGAAACCTTACTAGGTTAAAGAGTTAGTTGAAAAGTCATCTGTCTAGAGGGTAGATCTGTAGATCTGAAGAAATTTCTCAAAATGCATCACAAGGAGATAAAGAGATGGAAAGTATGGGAGAGGTTAGGAGACATGAAAGGTTCAATAAAAATGTATAAAATCTAACTGGAGTTTCAGAAGGGAAGGCTGAAATTGGTGGGCATTAGGGAGTCAATATACAAAGGGTTGATTGGGGAGAATTTTGTCCAGAATTAATCTGGACGTGACTATTCAAGGTCATCACAGTGAACTCCAAGCAGAATTTAAAAATCAAACTACACTGTACCATCAACAACAACAAAATGAAAGTAATCAAAGAGAAAAGATCCAATACCTGCAAAAGAATCAGAATGAAATTGAAAAGCAGATTTCCCAATAGCAAAGGTGACTTCCCACTCTCATTCCAGAGGGTGTGAAAGCCAGAGAACTGACAGTGACTGAGATCAAGGCCTCACTACCTCTCTGGCCTCCTACTTCCACGCTTGGTCAACCAGCTTTAGCCATTCTGGTTTCCAGATGAGCGATCCCTCCTGCCACCGGGCCTTTGTGCTGACTTTTCCCTCTGCCTGAACTCTTTCCCCCCAGACTCAGGCTTGTCTCAGTGTCTCACACTTTTCAAGTTTGACTCAGATATTATCTTTCAATGACATGTACCCTGCCACCCTATTTTAATACTGCAACTCACTCTACACATTGTTTTCAAATTTGTAAATTTGAAAAACATTGGACATTGGCTAAGTCTTAGATGGAAAACAGGTTTCAACAAATTTAAAATAAACTGTAACAAACAAACCATGTTCTCTGATCACAGTACCATTTATTTAGAAGTTAAGAACTTAGAAAGAAAAATATTACTATTAAACTTCAGAGATATGAAACTTTAAAAACACACTTCTCAATAATTTCTGGCTAGTCTGAGTTGAGATGTGCTCTAAGTGTAAAACATATGCTGTTAAACATAGCCAAAGATAATTTGGAAAAATAATATTTTTAAAATTAATTACACATTTACGTAATATTTTGGACATATTGGGTTAAATAAACATTTAGTTAGTCTCTCTCTTTTATCTATTTATTTTTTTGATAGAAGTACTACTGGTTTATAATATTATATAGATTTTCATGCCTTATAAATCAATACATGTTTGTCACCAAAAATCTAATTTCTGTTTTCTACTATATAATTGATATTTGCTTTTAATGTGGCTACTTTAAATGTAAACGAGGCCCTTCCTGGTGGCACAGTGCAGCACTTCAAAGCTGGCCCTGGCCAACTTCCATGTGAGTTCGATTCTCGCCCCCAGGTGACCCACGTGGCACAGCAGATCTCTCCTGTCTTGCCCACAGCTCTCCTCAGCAGTGTACTTCATCAGTCGGCCTGTTCTGCTCCCCACTCTGTTTCTAGTGAAGCCTCTCACCACCCCTGCACCTCTGGCCTGCACCCCAGTACTGTATGCATAAATAAGTATATCTTTTTTAAAAAATGTAAATGCCATGTGGCTCATGCTCTATCTTTATGGGAAGGTGCTGGCTCACCCTACATGCTGTGCTGCCTGTTTGCAGCATCAGGGGGAGCATATTTCTCAGCAGCCACAGGGCAGCACCCCAGCCTATCATCTTGGGGCCTCTCCAGGCATGCTTCACTATCCCCTAACAGTTCTGCTTTCTTGAATTTTTGCTCTGGGGCACCTTCCTTCTTCACTTTAGTTCTGAGCTCCCCTGTCAACAGTAAAGCCTCCCAGATCCCCAGTCACATAGGAACCCCCAGCCTTACTCGGCATCTATTGTAACCAGTCCAGCATTATTCAAATATTCTCCACCCAGATTAATAACTGTGCTAACCAACATTTGCATGGCAGTTAAATTCTGCAAAACATTTTTCACAGCCATAAGCTAATGCAATCCACACAACTCTATGAAACAAGAATTATGGTTATTCGTTTTGCATAGATCACAGAAGCTCAGAGACTTAAACCACTTGGTGGAGACCACATAGATGGTCAGGGACCAAACCTTCCCCGTTTCTGGGTGATCAGTGCCTTAGCATAAAGCCTGTGCTTTATGGGTGCCTCCAAACTACTTCATGAATGGGACCCACCTGGATGGCAAAGGGCTTTCTGCAGTGCAGCAGACCCCACTGGGTGCAGGGGAGAGGAGCGTGCCTCGCAGCTTCGAATTCCAGCCTATGGGCTTGCTCATCATACCAGATGCCTTGACTTTCCAGTTCTCATTTGTAAAATGGGCTTATAAGGAGGATTAAGTTAAATTAAATTAAATTAGCATAACATTATTATTAGGGGCATTTTCAAATGGGGATAATTCACCCATTCTATGAGCTTATTAAGCATAATATGCCTGGTGTATCATAGGAGCTCAATCAGTGGTAGCCCTTGTTATAATCTAGTGTTTAAGAGAGCAGGTAGGACCCCAAAGAGTAAAAGCTGCATCCTTTCTCTGCAGCAGCCCAGTCTCCTCTGTGGACCCCGCCGGTTCCAAGGAGCAGACTGAAAACCATTCTGTGAATCCAGCTGCAGCATTTTACCACCGGGAAAGCAGTCCAAGGCTGGCAGGCAGTGCAAGACTTTCTCAGCTCTCTCATCCCCAACCTGTCACTTCTGGAAGTTTCCTCCCTGCTCCCCTTCTGCCCTGACTATCCCCGACCCCCTCCAAGGATGCTCATCCTATATTTCCCTTAGAAAGTCTCCCTCCACAGCAAATGGCTTACCCCACGCAGAGTGCAGAAGAGGGATGCTGGGGCTGGGGCCGTCTCACTTGGGGTTTGAGTGGCCACTGACCTGTGGTTAGTGTCCAAAGTAGATAAGGGCAGGAAACGCAGGCTTTCGGATGGAGGTCCTAACCAGGCGTCAGACAATGGCAGGATGCACAGAGCAACAGGAAGCCCTGTTCCCTGTCTGCTTCTGTCTGGGCAGATAGAGACCCTTGTTGGAGTCAGCTTCTAGCAGGAGCCTTCTTCATTCAGACACGACATGTCTGAATGCGCAGCACAGAGACTCAGCTTGCTGTGCCGAGCGGTGGTTCTGGTTCCACCTCTGCCATGGCTGGTCATGTGACTCTGGGCAAGTCCCTTCAACTTCCTGAGCCCCCTTCTCATCTGTGAAATGACAGGAACAATGACTGTCCCATTCTCCTTGGGGGCACCAAATGGGGCTTATCATCTCCATCACCACTTTATAATGGCTTCTGCAGATGAGTGCAGGCTCTCAATGCATATGCAAGATTTGGTGTCTGTGCATTTATTTTCTAGGGCTATGTGTTTGTACTTTTCATCAGGGTATCTGTGGAGCCTGAGATATTAGGGACCACTGATGCATGTAAAAACATTGTGTGACCTGATGCTACACAGCTGTGAGAATCAAAGAGCCACACCAACCAATGCCTCCCCCCTACAAAAATGCCAAAGCCCCTAGACAAACCTGCACACTCCACATCCTCGCCGCGGAGGCCTCTGGGCCTGCAGCCTCAGCCCCCAGTGCTGGGGGGTCTGGAGGGCCAGGGAAAGGGCTCAGGAAGGCGAAGCAGTGTGTGTTTTTGATCTGCACTGAAAGTGAAGTAAAAGAACACGACCTGCGTCTAAAGTCTTCCCAGGGGCTGCAGGCGCCTGCGGCTGCAGGTGAGGTCAGAGGGAGCATGAGCCTTGGCCAGTGGCTGCTACACCTGTGGTGAGAAGCTGAGGTTAGAGGCCACCAGCTGTCTTTTAAATTCTAAATCTCTGCTTGGG